GGGGGGACGGGGGGACGGGGGGGGACCACTAGGGAAGGTTATCTTTCCAAGAATGCTGTATCCAAAAATATTTCTAACATTTTCTTCTACTCTTAAACAGCATAAATAATTCAGATAAATCTCCCGGAAAACAAAACTGAGCCCATAGTTGTCAATCTACAAAGTGACATGCATGACACCTACACCAGCTCAAGCCATTTCTGTTCATCAGACAGCACCTCAGAGGACAGCCAAAACAGTCACTTACTTCTAGTGGGTTTGCTGGGGCTTCCATGTCACTCACACCTGCCCACACGCATCCAAGACGGCCTTGAGCATTTGTTTCACTACAGGTCTTTGGAAGAAGAGGAGCAATGAAACAGGTATTTTATGTTGGCTACAGGAGCAGGAGAATTGCATTAAGACCCAGAAGATACGCAAGTGCTGCCTGTGGAGGCAGCTGAGGTTCAGAAATAAGTGGTGGAATTTTGATTTTAACCTTTTCCTCCTTCCTGGCCGGGGCTTCCCAGAAGGGTTGAAGCACACTGCATATGACTAATATGCCGGGCAAGGCAGCACTTTGCTTAGTGTGCATGTAAATCGCAATCGACTGGCCAGTTCACCCCAAGAGAGGAAGTTGCATTTGTAAGGGAAGAAAGGGTATGTTTTTTCAGTAAATAAGAGGACAGGGTTTTCTATACCTGCTTCCAGTTGTAAAAAAGGACTTACACAAGTATGACAAGGATTAAGTGACACAGTGTGATGTGAACTATCATGACAGAAAAACTAGTGAGTTATGCTTACAAAGGATTAATACTGAAGTCTTTTAACAGCTACAGGGAGGAGCACACCCATACAAACTCCAAGATGTTTAGGGGAAAACCGTAACTGGAAAATTGATTTACTTTCCCTGAAGAAAAGCTGCACAAAGATGACGAATGATAGGTGTTGTAATATGGACATCGTATTTGCAGTTCTAGTACTTACCTTACCTAAGCATGGATCTAGCTTCAAGCTACTCAAGTCTTCACTTGACTACTCAATGTACCCAACACTTCAAACTTGTGTCTTTGTTTCCCATTTGGAAAAGAGGTTAGCCTTACCAAGTTAAATTCACAGGAAAGTTTAACAAAGAAAAGGCTTCCACAGACTTCACATACAAAGTCAGGACGAAATAGAAAAGTGCAAAGTATTGTCATCTTCAGTCTTGGAATTCTGAATAATGATGGATTTCAGAAGGACGCATGAAAGAAAAACAATTTTCCTTATTGAGGAAAGATCCCTGGGTCTAAGGCTTTTTCAGTGGGAGCAGAGGTTGCTTATTTCCTTTTCAAGGAATGGAATGAAAGTTAGCCTGTGAAATTTTACATAAAATAATATAAATCTGTGTGAGTTCTTTCAATTTCCAAAAAGAATTTAGACAAAGTAAGGTAATCCTGTGAAATGCTGGAATTTAACAGCCACATTCCAGATCTCCGGTTCATAATGTGTGACTAAGCAACTCCTCTTTTGCAATATACAAAACTCAGTTTGGAAGAAAGCTACTGTTTTACAATATTGCATATGAAATATATACTCCCTACCTGATGTTTTATGGAGGGGTTGGAAAACTCATGGGGTATAAAGAGAGAAATTAAAAAACAAATGTTATTTTAATAAAGACATTTTAGATTCTACGTAGGTGTCATCCTACACATAAAAAAAAAAAAAAATTCATCTGTACCTATACCAAAACTAGCCTTTGACCATATCCCTCCCAGGTACAGCACTGGTTTAAAGAAGGAAGAACTACTGGCTGATAACACAACAGCAATTTTCACAATTGCATTTCTTGACATTTCTGTAGTGACCAATATATTATAAGATATATGAGCCAGTAACTGTCAGGCAATAAAACAAAGTAAACCTCTGTACCACCAAAGCAAGGTGAGTGAAACAGGAAGGCCATCCTCCGGGAAACAGACATGCAAGAAGGCCAACTTCTAAAATGAATAAACATACTGTGCTACCTGAAAGAACATAGTAATAGTTAAACTGTAAAATCCCCATAGTGGAGAAGGAAGAGCAAGCACCACGCATTTGAAAAATGAGATCAAGTATTACAATATTATTAAAAGTTTATGTCAAATCAAAGTTTACACCTAATAACTTCAAAGCTCTTTGCAGAAGCAGGCAATAATCCTATTATACACATAGTGAAACAGACCAACTGAATGCTAAAGGTCATCCAGATGTTAGTGTCAGATAAGAGAATGATGATGTCTCCTTTCACCCACAGTCTGTCCGTCTGTGTGTCACTGCTGCATCTGCAGCATCCATTAACAGGCTGTCACTGCATAATTTTGTGTTCTGACTGTACTAAAGTTAGGGAACATGAAAAGTCAAGAGTCAGCTGCTGAAGGAGAGGGTACTGTAACTAAACACAAACGTCCCGCTACCTTGCGTTGGCCTGCTACAATCCTATAGATTATAAACTCACGGAAACAGAGTCTGTCTTTATCTATAAAGTACCAACACTGAGCATCTGATTCATAAAAATACAATCAGAAAACTTCCATGTTGCACATCTGCTCCCAGGGCAATGATTCTCAAGCACAGACACCTTCCCTTATCCAGGCTCCCATGCTCAGCAGTCCCTTCTCCGTTCCAGCAGCAGCTAAGCTTTGGGAGAAAGCTTAGGTTGAACAGCTGCATTTTATGGTCTGGCCTGCTAAGGTAAACCAGCCCCAGTTTCCGATTTCCTCACAACAGCGCGGTGCGATGTGCTACATGAGTTGCTGAGCAGTCCCTGCAGCAGGGACAGAAAAGCAAACACAGGGCACAGCCCTACTTGTGAATCACAGCTTCTACTTGAAAGATATCAGTGCTCAAATTACTTTGAAGAGAGGATGAGGCTAAGACCCTGGAGTGCACACAGTTCTTACTGTTATTTAGTTCAAAACAGTTTCCTGGAAAGCTGAGTAGTTTCCTGGAAAGCTAGGTGGACTTTAGGACAGCAAGTCCTTTGTTGTGATATCTTAATGACTGTATTAACAACTACTGAAAGTGAATGATTCTTTCTTGGACTGGAGGATTTGAAGGTGCCATTTATAGGGATTTTAACTAGTTGCAACACTGTTCCTTTCTGCTTTCTCTGCGTGCCCCCCATGATGCTGTGAGAGAGTTGGGGAGACCTTGGGGGAAAGGTGAAGCTCCTGGAAGAGTACAGGCTAGAACAGCAACAGCATCTCCATGTCTCCCCAACCCCTTCCATGACAAAATGACCTGCATTTGTTCATTTTCACTCTGTGAGCCTACCACAGTGACTGAGCAGCAACAGCCGTTGTCCTTTCCCACACTAGGGCTATACATGAGTGTTTTGAGTCAAGTCTTGCTGTTTGCTGAAATAGCTGTTGTTTGCGTGCACTTCGGCACTGTCAGTGAATGCAGTTTATACTGGCCTCATTTATTGGGCAAATCTTTCACATAACATTAACATCTTGTTTGAAAGACATATTGCTCCCTGCTAACAATCAACAAGCTCCAAGCTAAGTATGCCTGTGTGGAAGCTCTTAGCTTTGTTACTGGCCTTCCACCCTACATATACACGTTAAAAACAGTGCCAAATTTTCTTGCTCCATCTTAGCTATTGCTCTTCGCTACAAGAATTTTACACAAAATATGACAGAATAGAAATGACATTAAGTGCTCTTCATTGCCTAGATAAGCAAGCTTAGCATTCATACTGATAACACCGAAGTTCCTTTACACAGTGCCTAAAGTCAATTGCCTTTTAAGAGACTTTATAGGAAATGCATCTGAAGGGCAACAATGTGCTGTTCAAGAACAATGGTGCTGTTCAGCTGTGCGAGCACCTTGGTGGGAGATAGGTTCCTTTTGTTCCCTCCCTCACAAGCGCTTTTCTGTACTGATTGCAACATAAGAACAGTACAGGGTATTGGAAATATAAGAGAATGTCTGAAATCTATACGAATAGAAGAAATGCCAATGAGTAGGGAACAAAAGCTCAAACTCTTCAGAGGTGGTGGTATTCTTCCAGCAAAAGCTGGGAGGGGTTGAAGCAAAATTGTTGTCTGTCTCTGTGAAAACAGTTAATAGCACTGAAAAGACAGACAAGGAGATGACAACATTTCTTTTCTTTGGTATTGTGGAGATAATGACACTGCATTTGTTTATCAGTCTAGTGCTACACAATGAAGAACAACTTAGTTGTACAACAGCACTTCGGAAATCTGAGATCTACAAAAATACTTGAAAGAAGGACTTTTTTTGACAACTATCTGACTTCAGAGGTCAAAAAAAGAAAAATATTTTTAAAGCATTTATACTTGGTTTGAAGCTACTGAATCAAATATGTGGCTTTAAATGGCTTGGAGAATCCTAGTTGAAGAGCAGACTGTAAATGCCGTCACAAACCTAAAAAACTGTTTACAGATCCAAGCAAACTTTCAAAAAAGCTGTTAAAATTTTCCCGCCTCCAAAACATAACCAGACCAGTTAAAGATTCTGGAGGAAGATTCGTCCTAGTGCTACACAGTCATAGGAAGGTCAGGAAGCTTCACAGAAAGCAAAAATGACAGCTGAAGAGGGTGTCTGCAAAGTGCGAACAGGTTTGCGCAAGGCACCAGGAAAGTAAATTTTAGAGGAAAACACAGTCTTAGCAGTGTTGTCCAAAGGCAAGGCACTGAGTGTTTGCTAGGCGTTGCACTGTTTGGTAATGTCTACAGAAAAGCAGAGAAGATACCCGAGGAGAAACCAAGTGTGCCTGTTCTGCACATTGGGAACAATGTCAGCCGTGTGCTGTGCTGAGAGGACATCCATCGGTGCTAACGAAGGCAAGCGCTCCCCAGGAGCTGCCTGAGCCATTCTTGCAGCCATGGACTGAAATGGCACCTCAGTCATGGGCAGTACCCCTGACTACATACACACTGGACACTGCCATGCAAATTAGCACCATCTCTAACACTACAGTAAAGGGCTTGTGGGGAAAATCTAGTCACTCTCTTGCCACAGACAACTAAAAATCAGATTTTACTGTGGTGAAATCATACCTACTTTAGCCACTAACATGCAAAATCAAGACTTGCTAAATGTGATGTAACAGCAGTGACAAACTGGTCAGCAAGTTTTATAAATCCCAATGTAATGCTTGCATGAACTTTAATTTCCCTGATTATTTCAACTCTTCCTCTTTAAATGAACAAGTCAATGTCATGGCATTTACTGGTTACACTAAAAAAAAAAACCAAACAAAAAAAAAAGAGAAAACAGACTGCTGGGAATAGTCTGAGTAGAAAAATACAAACTGGGCAACCTCTTACAGCATAACTGCCTCTGACTTCTCCATAAACATGT